CCAACAAGACCTCCACCTCCACCACCGCCACCGCCAACCAGACCACCAACTACCTACCTACCACCACAAACAACAAGAAGGCCGCCGCCGCCACCACCTCCACCGTCCACAACAAGACGTCCCCCAACTTATTCCACTTCTAGAACAACCGGTTATGACTATCCTACCCCGAGTGTAGTTTTCACTTTACCTACGAGACCCCCAACACAACCACCACCTCCACCGTCGCCGACTACCAGGCCGCCACCGCCGCCATCGCCGACCACTAGACCACCACCGCCGCCGTCGCCCACCACAAGACCACCACCACCGTCACCCAGGCCCACATCGCCCACCCCAGGGTACACCTATCCGACTCCATCGCGTATTCCCTTCACAACTAGACCACCCGTTTACATCACTCCGCCTACCACACAAAGACCGATTTACATTCCACCTTCGACCACCAGAGTTCCCTACACGACTCGACCGCCTTTTGTACCTGATGAGGGCTACTACTACGATAGACCTAAGGTTCCCTTCGTTTTCTAAGTTATGATTAGTGACTTCTTTCTAAGATGCCATACCTAATGTGATACCAAACTTAGTTCTTTTCCCTAAAACACTGATTGGGTTTTTTATAATAGCTAATACTAAATTTATTCTGGTGTGACTAAATGATTAAGGTATCAACGTTGTAAATATTTAAATTCATATCTAACACTTGAAATATTTTTATAACAATTTTATCGGCCCTTTACTACCAAATTCATATTAATATACGGAAGTATATTCCAATAATGAATATAAATACTCATAATGAAGATCGTCACTGCCTTATTAACTAATTCTAATTTTAAGATTGTAAAGTTATATTTTGAATAAAAAAAATATTAAAATTATTTGTTATTTTTTTGCATTCATCCCCTACTACTGAATCAAATTAAATTGTGACTCGTGGACTAAGTTCAATGAACTCCAGAATTACGTAATTTCAGCAGGACAGGGACTTTGTTAAATAAAAGCCCTAATAAGTTAGAAATGATAGCCAAGCATAAAAGTAAATGTTGTTTTAGAAGTTACTAGCTGTCGCCCGCGACTCCGTCCGCGCGGGATTAAAAATAGATGCTGGCCGATTCTCAGACCTACTCAATATGCTCACAAAATTTCATAAGATTCGATCAAGCCGTTTCGGAGGAGTATGAGAACGAAAATTGTGACACGAGAATTTTATATATAAGGAAGTTAATCTAAGCAAAATGCTTTAAATAATTTCAAGTTAATATTTTTGTTTCAGTGAATACCATATTGTATACATACTACAAGAAATTACGTAAGAATATTATTTAAAAAAAATATAGTGTAATACTTTCAGACACTACCGGAACTTTATATTGTTAGATGTCACGCGATAAAACAGTTTATTGACCATTTTTAGACATTTTGCCGAAAAGCAATTAGCCTGATCTGTTTCAACGTATAAGATTTTTCAGTATTCCCTAGAAACTCCTTTATTAGTCCAATATATTCAGAGATTTTTAGTTTTACTTAAATTGTTATATAGACTATAATCCAAAGATAGAAGTGCAATTAAAAATTAATAAATGCCGTTATTTAAAACTATTTTTTATAAAACGTTACATAAGTATTATGTTTATCGCTAAAAACACGTATTACTAGTTGTCGCCCGCGACTCCGTCTACACAGGATTAAAAAAAACTATATAGCCTATGTGTTTATCCAGACTATGTCCTACATCAGTGCCAAATTTCATCAATATCCGTTGAGCCGTTACCCAGATATCTTGTAACAAACATCCATTCATCCATTCAAACTTTTGCATTTATTACATTAGTAAGAGGTTAGTTTAATTACTACTTAAAAATGAAACTTTTGAGTTAATGTGTCTATCTGATTTACATTTAAAAATTTTCAGATTAAAGATACGTGCATATTGTACGCGATTACCGTAGCCAACAATGAACTATAATTTGTAGAGAACATTACGAATAGCTTACCATTTTCTTTGACTAACGTCTTTATGACTAACTTTCTCTTGCTTTTTATGTAAAAACTAGATTCACGAGAACTTAAAATACAGTATTTTTGTGAAAGATTCTAGATAATTTACGTATAATGCAAAAGTATATATTTATTGCGTAAAATTAAAAAAAAAATTACGTGATTTCTAGGTTAGGATTTCCATTTTTTTTCGAAGGATTTGTGAAAATATATTTGGGAACTGGAATCAAAATTGAATTGTTTCGTTTATGTAATGAAATTAACATACTAAATTAGGTATTTTACACAATAGTTTTTTTTATGTTATTTGAATATTTATGGAGTATATACAGATACATAGTCATTATGTGCGAATTAATAAATACGTTTCTCCCGTGCGCGATGTTCGTGCACGCTCTGGTGACTTTAGTGATGTACACACTATCGATACTTTTTTGAATAAGCTAACAAAAAGATTTAAATTCTTTAATCTAAATACCTATGGTATAAATATAAATGGTGTTATTATTTAACTCTCCTCTTTATAGATCTTTAGGCCGAATAATTTTAAGATTTCATATTGGTCAAGGTCTGTATACCTTCATGAAGCAATCACGCATATTAACTTCTTACATTTACTACTTTTGAAATTATACAAAAGAACTTTTTGTTGACACGATGCATCAATTAAAATATACAATTTCATACATTTAGTAAATGTTGGTTTAGAAAATCATTAACCTCTATTTAAACTGTTTTATGTATCAACTAAAAATTTTCCTGATAATGTAAACAATGAAATTGCTACTTATAATTTTTTTAAAGAAAATGTTAGGTTTATAATATTTTGGCCGCGGACGAGAGCGAAAGCGTGGCCGTGGCCCCGTCCCGATGCGTTGGAGGAACAGAGAGGTTTAGTGGGTATGAATCCGTTATGAAGGAGAATCCCACACAACTACCGCTTCCCCCCCGAGGCGCGGAGTAAACATAAAGCATTCCTCTCTGAAAAAAAAGGGTTTATAATATTTAAATCATATCGATAATTACGTCCAAAGAAATTCCTACCCTACGGTTAACGTAGAAACAATCTCGTAGAATAACATTATGATTGGTGCGGTGCATAAGAATCTGTCGCATTTTTGAGTACGGACGCACACAGCGCTCTTGTTTGTAAACCAAACAAACAAATAAACAAGGAGTGGGACATTCTTTCTCGATCTAGTAATGTGATTAGCAAAATGACAAGTGACCAGTCGGTAACTAGTAGCAGCTCCCAGGCGAGACATTTCGGTCTATACAGGACTATAGACGCAAGGACCGAGGAGTTTTTAAGGCTCTCCAGGAAACGTCAGATACGGCAAGGCTGCGCATGCGCAGCTGTATCCACTGCTATCACCGTTACCATAATTGTTGTAAGTATTCTATGTTTAGGAGAAAGTTTTTTGTACCGTATTTAAACGTTGTTTTTGTGCTAACTTAGTTTTATCTAACTTAACTTATTTTAATGGAGTATTGCTGTGAGAAACACATTATATGATTGTTTTTATTAAATAAAATGGATTTAAAAAAAGTGGTAAAATTTGTTAATTTAACTCAAAAATATGTCTTAACTTTTACAATATTTTATTTCTTATTAAAGCAAGCATACCAATAATTTAAATATAACTAAAAAAAATTAAAGAGTCGCTGTACGAAAATAAGGAAGCATTATTAATTGCCGATAAAATCTTGTAAACGTCCAACAATTTACTACACGAACGGAATAAAAACATCAAATTGACGACCAATTATTGTGTTTACACAGTGAAGTACGTTGACTTGTATAAAAATGTAATATTACAAGTTATGTTTCCACTATCAAAACAAATATTGTCGAATCTGGATAAGCGATAGTCTAAGAGACCACTATTATTCTCGCTTATGGTTCTCTTCTAACACAAACTTTTCGGTTGCGAAACCATCGGAACTGGACAATAAATTTCGCTTATAGAAGTTTCTCGTTTATCCAGATTCAACTATATACAAAAACATATCATACTTACGGGAACAGATAGAGCTTAACGTAATAAATTTAATAATCTATATCTGACGATAAAGTATGCATCTAATTAGAACTGATCGCTACATCGTTTTAGAGTTAAAGTGAAAATATCTTTGATTCTGATGGTTGGATACGATAATAAATATCTCTTACTAAGTCTTTTTGTCCAAACGGCAAAAAAAGTGACTCTTAGCTATTAACAAGATAACGTCTGTCCATTTTGTTCAATCATAACTTAGTGATTCTATAACTTAAATAAAGATTTGACCAAAGTATTCTTAAGTTGTTCCTAAGTTTTAGTTAAATCGTGTATTTGTGACTAACTTCATGTGTTTTTTTTTAATTTTACGGTAAGTAATTGTTGATTTTGTTTTTATACTTTTAATTTTCTAGGATTAATTGTCATTCTAAATTATGCCACCTAAACTAAAAAAATAAGAACACGAAGGCTAAATAAAATAAAAATGAAATAATCCCAAAAAAATTTGAATTCAGAAGTCAAAACTCTATTCTTATCATTATTTGTTATTGTTATCTATTTACTTAAATGTCGTAATTTACAACTTTCAAAATCTATCTATCGTGAGTTAACAAAACTAAAATGTATCTATTTCTCTCATTTCAGAGCATTCTCCTTGTCTTTGAACTGAACTTCAACCAACATGAAGAGCATAAACGTACAAAGAATTGGCGAGATTTAATAAACAACTCCGCAGATGATAACATTTATAATAATGCCAATTACAACATAGACAAAATAACTTTAAAAATGTTGCCAATTTTAATAAAAGCTATCAATAAGAATAAACTTATTGACAAATTACTCGACGTTTATACAACACCACGTTCGGGATATGAAAAAGGGTACACAACCGAGTACCCTTATAAGAAAAACGTGTTTTCCGGTCGAAGTAATTGGATCAGATTTCCGACATCAAGACTCCTTGCTATCGAATACAAAACTTCACCCATAGTATATTTTAAAACACCTAAAAATGATTATTTCACAAAAATAAGAAAAATCCGAGACTACCAACGCATCATGAATTATGTAGATAAAATGATAAGTGACCGTGTAACATTTGGATCGACTCAAGCTATGACAAAATACGATGATTACGCGCAAGATGAAACCCAAACACAGAAGACAGTAACAACTCCCTTATCGAAAAATAACAATAAAGGAGAACATCATTCATATACAAAAAAAGAAATATCAAAAGAAGGAAAATCTATAAATTGCAAATGTCCAAAAAAAATAAGTGAAATTTTGAGAAATTTAATATCAAACATAAAACTTTTGATGCCGTCTTACGAATCCACAGAGTCTACAGTTATAGCAAACGAACTCGACAAATCACCTTGCGATAAAGGTGATACCAAGTTGCCTTCAACAAGCCCTCCCATCAGCACTTATAACATTGATCAGACTGAACAATCGTCTACTCAGAAAACAACTCCTTCGACGGTTACACCGGATGTAAAAGTAGATTATCCAGAACAATACGTACCAACAAAACTTAACGACTTAAAAAGAGATCAGACGCTAAAGACCATCGTTAGTTTACTTCAGCCAAAATTCATGGGCCAACAGACATACGACTTTAAAGGCCATACAAAACATACTACAACACCGCCCATGTACATCGAAAGGACAGAAATTATTGAAGAAAAAACAACATTACCGACACTGAAACAAAGTTTTAATAAACATGATCCATTGCATTTGATGACGACTGCACCTGACTATAATTTACTAAACAAAGTAAACTATAACAAAAGAATACCAACCGAACTGATTTACAGTGAAAGTACTGAAGATAAAGACATATTTACTACTGATTCAGCTGATAACTACTTAAATCTAGACGTCCACAGCTTAGAATTGGTGAAAAGGAAGCTGATATCATCTTGCAAGAAAACTAAAGAAATAGTATTCCAACAACCCTATAGGAATATTAAAAACAATGCATTGAAAAGAACACATGATAGAAAATGGTACAACTTTCAAAATAATACTTCCGTAGATATAACAAAAATACTGTATCCTATAGCTACAGTACATTACCTGTATCACTCTCAAAATACCACCGTTGAAATAACAACAGCCAAGACTATTACGACTGCTGAAGCGACCACATCAACCACAGAAAAACGAGAAGCTCTTACCAAAACATCGCCACCTATTCCCTCTACCATAGCCACCACAACTATGCCAACAACTACAGATTTTACTGTAACAACAACTGTAGTTACTAAGTTATTACCAATAAAGAACAAACTGGAACCGAGATCTGAAAAAAAAGTTTTGGAACAAAAGTTTAAGGAAGAGAATTTTAGATCAGAAGAATTAAATTTAGACGATGATTTTGAGAAGATAATCATTGATGACAATTATCAAGAAAATGATTACAAAGACAGACGTATAGATGATCTCCTTAGCCATAAGGATAGTAACATAGAAAATGAAATATCCGAAATGAATGACAATAAAGGCAATATTGTCCCAAAATCGGTAGACAATAAAGAAAAAGATGATTTCTTTTTTACATCGATGGCATTATACAATAAACCTCGTTCATATTTAGATATTCAAAAAAGTAACAATAAACAAGACGACAATTACAATTTGGATTTAAATAATTTATTTGAATAGTAATGACATACCAACTTTTAAGTACTGTCAGATATTTATTGAAACCTTTGTTATCATATTAAACATTCACAATTAGAAGTTATTTTATTGAAAATCCTCAAATTAAATGTGTTCTACGATATCGAATGTAATATTTGACACTATGTTCAATCTTGTTTCAGGCAGTTCTACTGATCTACGAGTATGCGATTGTTGTAGAATCGAGTTTAGTACAAAATAGGAAAAGCCTAAACAAATCGGACAGAGAAAAGTCTATGAAAAATCTTAGACCTATAGCTGATAGATTAGATAGAAGCTATTTTGGATTTGACCAAGATTATTATGAAAGAATGCCACTTCTTGTTAATGCATTGGCTGAAAATGTTTACACCCAACCTTTTCCAGAAACTGTAACAGTGCAAAAATATAAAAAACACGACATAGCTTTACGAGCGCATTTGCCTTTTAATACTTACAAATTGATAAGAAGAACAAGTCCAAGACCATTTAATTTTGATCAAATTTCTACACCGTATCCTTTTAGTAAAATGTATGGATCAAAAACATGGGTTGATAGTTATCGTAATGCTCAAAGGATGAAAAATCTTCAGCACGTCATGATGTATCTTGGGAAAACAATCAACGCCAAACATAGTGATATACATACGATTCCAACACAGACGCACATCGCATTTACTGGAATGTATATTGAACCTGCAAACGTAAAATACACCACGGATAGTTTCATGCAAAAGGTAAATCCAACACAAACTCGGCATCGAGTTGACCCTCTATTCACATTTAAACCTGACAACCCAGGAGATGTAAATCTATTAGCAGAAGACTTTGCGTCAGGTTTAACCGATAACGAAGAGAAAAAAGAATCTTATCCATATTCTCGAATCGAAGAAAATTGTAGCCATAATTCTCGAGAACAAAATATGGGGACTGAAAAGTCAAATTCCAATGAAGATTCTAAAATAAATCGTTTTAGAAAACAAGGCTTAGGTACTGAATATAAAACTCAAAGTCATTCTCCGACCACCTCTAAAATGTTAGAAAAAATATATATCACAACTTCACGCCCTGTAATACACTTTAAGCCGAGATCTGCAAGGCCTGTTTCCCGCACATATATTAAATTTACAAGACCACGACCACATCCAAAAGACGTCACCACAGTTGACTCTATTTATAAGCGTAAACCAGAATTGAACAGCAGTACTAATATGATAGTTAATGTAAATGTTTTTCCTATGGAAAGTGAAGCAAAAAATGGAGACCAACATTTTAAAGAAAGCGAAAATTCTATTCGATTCTCGACCACACAGAAGCCGATTAAACAAATACCTATAATTGTAGCAAAGCAAGTAGAAGATTACCATGTGGGGAGTTCGGGCATTATACCGATGACTACAATGACGCAAGCTAGGGAGCAAGAAGTGCTAACCGTAACTCCTTTGCTTGATACTACAGAACCATATTCTGAATCGATTTGGTCAACTAATCCACCTGATGTTATTAAATTTAGTAGAGAAGATGCCAAAATCCCAGATCAGTACACGACGATGACATTTGAAGATATTCCATCGACAACGGAAACTAATTCAAGAACGTACAAAAGTGTTGCATACGACGAAGATCGAAATATTGAAGCGAAAACACTTATTATAAAGTTGGTAAATAATTTAGAATCGACTACTAGGCAAAGCAATAGTTATGATCGATCAGAAGTGGAAGAATTTACAACAAATACTTATGTACCGCAAATTAACGGTCATTATAGAAATATGGAGAATTTACGTAAATTATTTGAACTCTTGAAAGAAAATTCAGAAAAATATAGAAGAAACAGACTTAAGCCAATAACAACCGTCCATTCCCCAACTTATGTACCCACGTATATCGAAATTAAAAGAAATCGCACTGGACATTTCAACGAATATAATTAATAATCATTTTTAAATGTTTAAAAATTAGCAATATCTATTTAGATCTCCCACCGATTTGTTTTTCTTATTTACTAAAGTTAGTATTGGGATTTTTCGTCCTATTCGTACCGAATTACCTTATATGTTACTACTATAACGTCCCTTATATTTTCTACTCAATTACCTTACTCTAGTGGTTTCTGAGCGTCATCGGTCCAGTTTAACTACTACACCTAAAAATGTTAAAAAAAATAATGCCATCCTTTCATTCTCCTTGCAAAGATAGAATGGCAATATGTGTGTTTACGAGTGCTTTGGCAGTAACATCACTTAATAATCTCAAACGATTTGAAAATCGAATTATCGAAATAGGTTTTTATAGAAACCAAATTTGTAATAAAAGCATAAAAACATTAAATAAAATAACTGTTATAGTTCTGGTGTTTTGTTATTTTTAATGACTTACCGCTATTATCAAATCTTATGTATTCTGATACAAATTTGAAGCCTTTAAATTAAATTAAATTAAAGCGCCTTTTCAAAATCAATAGCAAAAATGTGTACAACTTACTTTTTTACTTTCGGTAAGTGATCTTTAATTTAAAAAAAAAACTTGTCAATATGTCAAAAAGGTCTTGTGAAATGAGGATTTTTACTATAGATGAACTCTTAAAGAGTTAAATTAAAGGGCTGATTAAGAGTAAATATATCAGATATTCCAGTTCGCTTTGACCTTTCTACTCTACTTACTGTAGTTTAATATTAAAATATAGTAGATTTATTATAAATCAAAAACATATGACACGTTTTTATCAATAAATTTCTTAGAAAACAACACTCAATTCGATTTTTTATAAATTAATGACATAACACAATAACAAGAGACTGCTTCATACTTATACCATTAACCCATAAGGTGCGATAGCAACTAGCCCTGCAAGTTCACTTCAATGCCCGTAAAATTGTAGTAGCATTAAACGTGTTAATTGAAAATAAAAACACAATTCTAAAGATATCGGGGTCATTTCTTAATTTTTTTTTAATTTTATTACTTTATTTTTATAAAAGGGCAGTAACACACTGTTGGTAAATTAAATTGATTTATGTTATATTAAAATTAATATTCTATGGTCCCGTGACCTTAATGCAACTACTCTGTGCGCCCTTTAAAACCGCGACCTAACATGTCCGTCTCTTTCTGTCACCAGTGACCTCCATATCCACATCTCGTCTCACGCATCTCAAGAAAACCCCGTTACTTTTACCAATGCAAAAAGGCGCTATCTGCGAAGAGTTGAAGATGTAACTGTCGATATAATGCTGTCACTTTCACACATAGAGTTCGCACATAAGATTAGTGAGCGAGAAAAATGCAATACAAATCCAGTCTCGAAGACCGGTGGTGCAAGTTTTTGACAGTACGATTTAAACTTTGCGGAGTGAGTTTGTGGAAATAAAAATGTTTGTAAAAATTAAGTAAATAAAAGTTTGCAATATCAATTCAATGATAAATATGTGTATATTGTGAATTTATTGTGAGAAACAATAAGTGAAAGGGTTAACGTTTTTGGTAATAAGGTACGTATTTGGGTATAACTGTTATTGACAGTTAGGCAAAGGTGTATTTACATGCGGAACTTTCTTTGCATAACTTTGTTAGTCATCAAGGCCAAATTATATTGTGTCCTATTCAAAGATCATATTAATAAACTACTACTCTAGTAAGCTTGATTTTAAAAAAAGAATTTAAAAATATAGACGACTTAATATTACTTTGTCGTGTTCAATGCAAATAACCAATGATGCAACGAAAAATTTATTTTTGTAATTTGGATTTATTTTAATGTTATTTCTAACAACTAAATCTTACTCCTGTTATTTAAGTATTAGTAAAATAATTCAACATTACCTTCGAAATGTAACGTGATCAGATCTAGATATCAAAAATCAGCGTAATTAAAGACCTAGATTCGAGACATTTTTAGCACAAAATTCAATCCCTAATAATACTTTCAATAAACGTGATATAATATAGATATCCTTCTTTACTGTATAAGAAATAGTCAAATATATATATATGTGTCAGTTTACAAGAAACACGAAGGATTTTGTGAGAAAAATATCAACCTAACATTTCTGTATGACCAAGATTCGTCCTATAATAGTCAAAGACATGTGCCCTTTACGATAATAAATCTGTCAGTTCTTTCTAACAAAAAAAAAACAATAACGCATCACATTGGTCCAATCAGCAATAGAAGAGCCATAAAAAACAACTGAACTATCAAATTAAAAATAAAATTAATCGTTTTATTTTAAATTGTATTTAGTTTCCAATAACTTGGTCTCAGTATCTCATTGTTTACGTTTAACGTAGCAATATTTTCACGTTGGAGTTCTAAGAGGAGCATTGTAAGGCTTTTCCCACGCACCATTGTAAGCGGTTCACTGACATGGGAACGAAACATACAAACTATCAATGCCTTCCGTTTGAAATTCCATCAAAGCTTTTAATATACGCCAATCGACTATATTTATTACAGACTTCCTACAATAATCGTTGTATAATAGTCATAAATGTACTTAATCCTATGACGTAGAAGTAGGCAGTGTCGGATGTTATCCAAATGTAATATTTCCCTGGTTACTTAAATACTATAGGATTTAATTGCCGTATTGTAAGATCTCTATGAGTTTGTTAAGAGCAATCTAGTCTCCGATCATGGCTGCAGCGCGGAGTTGTGTCTCAGATAATTATAATTTTTTGATTTTTTTAAATGTTATTTTTCTCGTGTTCAGTTTATTTATTTCCATAAACTTAAGACAATTTAGGTAATTTTCAGTTCATCTTACAAAGCTATATAGACGATGGTCCTTCGAGTCAGATTTTGTACACGTGTTACGTACAAGCATATATTCATAATAATGTTTCTACGTAAATTTTTACCTCACCAAGTCTCTTTAAAATCATTCTTACCTAGATCTGATAAGAAAAAAATGTTCCTTCGAGATAATCTACAGACTTTTTGCTTCAGTAATACAGTGTACGTGCTGTTATTGGAGCGCTGCAATAATTTGTGCAACATTTCAAAAGCGCACGTCAATACGGATGACGTATATTGTTAGTATTCAAGGCGAAGCGGACCGAAACGTCTGCATAATTCTGTCCAGGTATCGGATTTTAGAATTTCATCAGAAAACTGTTTGTCGCAAAACATTTTATTACGTGATCTCTTTATTTATTTGGTTTATTTATAAAAATACTATTAGAAAGAGCCTCGACTTCATAGGTCAGCATTTATAATATTTAATTAAGTCAATCTTACTTCTTACTAATATTATAAATGTGAATGTTTAGATGGATGGATGGATTGGTTTGAAGGTATCTCCAGAACGGATGAACCGAACTCTATGAAATTTGGCATGCATATAGAACATAGTCTGGAAGAACACATAGGCCACTAATCGAGTTTTTTTTTAATTACGCGCGGACGAAGTCGCGGGCACAGTTCGTAATCTAAATAAAACTATTCGATGTTTTCATACATCCAAATAGCTTAGCTTATAAGTTGTATAATAAGTTCTATAAAATATATAAAGTAATGTAAGTAAAAGTAAAGAAAATAAATAATAAATTACTTTCTTAATATATTAAGTAGATGAATAAAGATGCAAGAAGTCACTTTACTATACGGTATGTGAATTGGTACCATTTCTGGTTAAGGTAATCAATTGCGCCATCAAATATAGAACAGTTTGCGACATCTCGGAGACGGAAATGGTACTGTAGTAAATAATTTACTTCATTAGACCCAGAAGTCTACGAAGTACAAGTTTTAGTATTCTACATAGCCCTATTTCATTCTATAATTATTCAGTTAGGGTAACGAGTAAATGGATAAACTGATTTTGAGGTACTACTGCTGACTATAACTGGCCGTAAATATGAAAATAAATTGCCAGCCTAAAATAACGTAAAAGAAAAATTTATAGAACAAAAAGCAATGTACCGATAAAAGCCCAATGTAAGGGGAATTATTGTTGATGGTGCAAATTAAACGTTTCATACACTAACACATACTACTTTCATTTTATTAACATAGAAAAGCGTTGTGTTTTCTATATTATTTTCATCATCATCATCAGCTCACTATATGTCCCCACCGAGGGGCTTGGAGCCTACCTTAAGTTAAGGGTGATTAGGCCATAGTCAACCACGCTGGCCAAGTGCGGGTTGGTTAACTTCACACATATCTTTGATTTTTTTCTCAGATATGTGCAGGTTGCATCACGATGTTTTCCTTCACCGTAAGAACGTCGGATAAATGTATATACAAATGTAAATCGGAAATCGAAAAACACATTGGTACATGGCGGGATTCGAACGCAGGACCTGCAGATTGCAAGTCAAGTGCTTGACCACTGATCCACAGACGCTCCACGGTCACGACATGTTATTTTACATGGCTTAAAATTATTTATTACGGATCTAGTAGTTACAACTCAATTGTTATGATTATTTATTACAAGACTGATTTCAAAAATTCCCAGAGTTCCAATTACATTGCGTTGAGGTCAACTCCAGTTCACGCGGCTGTCGCAAGCCAATAGCGATTGTTCTGAACTCGGGCCCGAAATACGAGTCGTTTCGTTCCGATACGTTTCGTTACACCGGATTGTGTAATTGTGTTAATTGACCACGCATGCTTTTAAAACGGTTTTTTGTCCTAAAGCTTTTATAAACGAAATATTGGTATCGAAATTCTTTTACCTAAATGTGATAAAATATTTATAAGTTCAAAGGTACCCGTAAATTTCTTATTTTAATTGGTCGTGTTTGTGTATAAGACACCTAGATATGACCTAGGTTCGTATTGTAATTTGATCGATGATAACACACGAAATGTTTTGAGAAATATAAATGAACGTAACAGTAAACAATTTTTGTATTTGTAGATGGCGGAAATAATATTCCAGCGGCGAAAAGTTGCGACAGTTCTCAACGAACCGAACCCTCTGTTGATACTGTTGCTGGCATGTCTGTTACAAGCCGTTACTTCGCAAGTGATCAACAGAGCGCCACACTTCGTACCCCAGACTGGGGACATGTCACAGTTCAGTTTGGCAGAGGATACACCCGTTGGAACGCCAGTTTATCATTTAAAAGGTGACTATTACGTATTTCAAAATTTAAATGTAAAATTTCCAAAGGTGTGATCGGCAGAGGTCTTTCTTTTGAGTAACTTTGAAATCAAGACCTCATTTTGCACAATGATTGCCAGGACTCAAATGCTTAAGAAATTCCATTTAATTTACTCCTAAGCAAAC